GCTATAAACTCAAGGGTTACGTGGGAACCTGTTACCAAAACACAAGGGTTGCGTGGGAACCTATTTAAAACACAAGGGTTACGTGGGAACCTATTACAAAAACACCGGCTGTGAATATAACTTCTTCAGATGGGAATTGAAATAATTGGACTCAGACGTGAGTGGAACATCTCCCTACTGAAAGCATTTTGAAAATGCGTAATTGAATTCACAAGGCAAAAAGAGAAACCATCGTGAGTATAACTACTTCAGATAAAACTGAAAGCATTTAGGAAAATGCGCAATTGAACTCACGATAAGAAGATGAACATTATGGAATAATGTGAAATTTAGGAATATTTGCTGGTCAAATGATGAAATGTGAGTAACAAACCTCGAAACTACTATACTTCATTGGGAAGGTAAAGGCAAGCCGAGTATAGGTTATTGAATTGTAAAAGATAATAAATAGGAAGAAATACCGTTAAATAAGTATAAATGCGTGTGTCGCATAAGTATAAATGCGTGTGTCGCATAAGTGTAAATGCGTGTGTCGCATAAAGTATAATATGTTGTGTGTTGACATAATGGTTATAATAAGAATTAGTACAAGATTAAACAAAGAAGATATTTTGCGTAATATTGAATATATGGATGTAGAGATTACATATATAATGAAAAAGAACTAAAAACTCACGAACTTTAGAAGTTATGAGAATTTTGAAGTTTGTGAAATGCGAAAATTATAGATTATGATGATAAAAGAAAACCTTGAGGCGCAGTAAAAACTTAGAAAATTTTTGAAATTTTTAGAATGCGCAGTAAAAACCTCTGCAGTCTGAGGAGATTGTGGACTTAGAATAATTTTTTTTTTTTTTGAAATTTTAGGGCGCAGCAAAAATTAATGGTAAAATATGGCGTAGTAAAATTGAGAGATAGAATCTAAAATTGAAAGAAGTAATTTATTCAAAGATAAAAGAAATAATTTAAAGAAACAAGGTTGAATATGAGACGGAATTTACAAGATATGTACCTGAAGTGAAATTTTATGATAATATTAAGAAGGGAAATAGATTGAAGAATTAAACGAAAATATTATGAAAAGAAAGATTACATATATTGGATATATAAAAGGAAAGAACATTACGGAGAAGAATATTCAGAGGGTTAGAAATGAAATATATATAAAAGGAGGTGAAATTTTAATTAAGATTCTGGATGAACAATTACAACTATGGAATGGTACCATCAATGGGAGAGCGAATATAGGGTACATAAAGAGGAACATGAATTGAGAACAGGAGAATTAGATGAATGTTTAAATTGTGAATTATGTCATCCAATAGAAAATAAACCAATGGTGTTCAAGAAATTTTGGGATGCATTATTTAAGTTCGAAGATACAATAATAATATATAATAATGTAATGATCAAGGGAGTAATAGATTTATTAAGTATGGATAATTCGGAAAGAGAAGATACAATACACAAAGGAAAATGTAGAGACATAATGGATAGAATAACGGAATCAATAAGATATAGAATACAACCAAAAATGAAAGAAAAAGGATTACGGACAATTATATTAGTAATTGTAAGGGATTATATTGAAGGAAATTTAGAGAATGAAGTATTTGACAGATTAATTGGGAATCCTGAGTTAGTGGAACACAAATATATCTTGGAAGGTTGGGATGTCGAGAGAAGATTTGAGAAATTTTGGCAATGGTATAGAGTCGCATTAGGAGAAATTAGGGCCGTAAAAGCAGAAGTAGGAGCAATAGAGAAGTTCAAAGAATTATTTTATGAAGAAGAAAAGATAGCGGTAAGTGAAGAAAAAGTGAAGGAATTAATGCAAGGAATAATATATGAAAATATAGAAATAGATAATGTTCAAGAACATCATAATAATATGATACAAAAGATAATAAGAATATTTATAGATACTAGGGGCTTTACAAAAGAACCAGAGGATTCAGAAAGTGAAGGTAGTCCAGCGAGTTACGAATTAGAAAATAGTTCTGAGGAAGAATTAGAGATAATAATAGGAGACAAATCATGGAAATTTAGTGATTTAAAGAGAAGGACAAGTTCTATAGATGAAGATCAATTGAGATACATTTGGAAGATAGGAATAAAGTTGATGATAGAAATGGATATATTGGTAACAAAAATATTTATAGATAAAGTCCAAGAGGTAGAGGAAATGGATGAAAGGGAAAAAGAATTGGAGATAAGAGAATGGTTAGAAAAAGAAACAGTAATATGTAAAAGATGTGGTATTAGGAGATTCGAAATGGACAGAACAGATAATGAATGTGGGGAATGTATTAAAGAAATGCAGAAAGATGAACAAGATGAGTTAGCAGAATTAAAAGATGATTTAGAAAAATTGGGATACGAAATAGATGTATCAGAAATTCAAAGGATAAAAAGTTTTGGAGTAAATAATCGAATAATAATAACTAAAGAATTTGTGGAAGAATATATGGAAATGATAAATTTGGAAGATAAAGAATTAAGAAAAGAGATTCATAAGTGGTTAAATGAGAATACAACTTGGTGTGAAAGATGCGAAATAAGATGGATGAATGATATGTTTAGATTAGGAGGAACTGTATGCAGAGATTGTGAAGAAGAAGATATTAATGAAATTGATGATCGGGTAAAAAGATTACAGAAGATTTTTGAGGATATTGGAATAATGATAATTGAAGAGGAATTGTTAAGATTAACTAGTATGGGATATACAGATGGAGAAATTTTAGATAAAGAATTCATTGAAATCTTTCAAGAAAATAAGAATGAGTCGGAAAAAGAATTGAAGAAAAAGTTAGATAAGTTGTTGAAAGAACAAGCAGGAGTAATGGATAGTGAAGAAAGTGGTGAAAAGAGTGATAATGAAGAATCAGAAGAAGACAATACGGATAATTCAGAAAAGATTGGAGAAATATTAAGTCCGGATGAAATATGGGACGGAAGTGATGAAGATTTTGAAGAAGAAGAATCTGAAAATGAAATCGAAAATGTTATAAATACAGGAGGTTTTGGTCTGAATCAAAATTCAGATTCGAATAGTTCATTAAATTTTAAAAATTCTGACACAGAAAGTGAAATATCTGATTACAATTTACAAGAATTATTTCAAGAGAATATAGTAAATATGGCAAATGAAGCACAAATAAGAAGAATAATGGAGAATGCTATGGGATTGGCACCAAATGCATTAGATAATGCGTTAGGAGCAGGACAGACTTTGGCGGATAGGATTCAGACTGCAGGAATGGGGGGAATAGTAGGTATGCCAACTTTTAGTGGAAAAGAGGATGAAGATATTAATGATTGGATTAGACAATTTGAGATAGCATTTACAGTAAGTGGACGACCAGAAGGAAATGTTGGAGGAGGTGTGTGTAGACAAAATAAGGCAAATATAGCCATAACTTGTTTGAGAGGAATCGCATTACAATGGTATAATGAAGAAAAAGAAAAGGTAGCAGTTAATTTAGTGAATTGGTGTGATCATAATGAGGACAGGAATTTAAAAAGAAGATTAATCGACAGATTTACTAGGAATGATGTTCAAAGAAGAAAAATGTTGGAACTAGCAAGAATTAAACAGGGAACAAATGAAAGTGTTGAAGAGTATACTAGAAGATTTAGATCGATATTAAGAATTGCGACTAGAGGTCATGCGTTAGATGATTTATATCAAGTAAATTATTTTATTCAAGGGTTAGATGCCATGCTAGGTTACCATGTTAGGAGAAGTAATCTGACGAATCTGAATGATGCAGTTAACGAAGCAAAAAGAGAAGAGGAAGCGAAAGATGAATTGTTAATGAAAACAACAGGGTTGGATATGAAACGAGTAGGACAAGAGAAAAACATGGAAGAAATTTTGAAAGAAGAGACAAATAAGTATAAAGGAATGAATCCAATTGCTAAAGATTTACAAAATAAAGAAGTTAAAAGTGATGAATGGGATGAGTTAATCGATGGAATGAAAAGGTTGGAAGCACATATAATGCAAAGAAATGAAACACATGTAATGCAAAGGAATGGGAATGATAGGAGACCGATCGGAAATAATAATGTCCAAAGAAATAATATGAACTGGGATAGAATGACTTGTTATACATGTGGAAGAAAAGGATATACTTCTAGAGTTTGTAGGGAAGGTCAAAGAAGATCATATGGAGGAAATAATAGAGGGTCATATAGCCGAAATAATCAAGTTAATTATCTTGAAGAAGAATACTATGGTGGAGGACATAATGTGTATAATATGGAATATAATGATGAATATGATGGATATAATGAAGGTGATGGGTATGATAACTATAATAATAATGGATTTGATGGATATGAAGTGAATAACTATGAAAATGAGGAAAGATACGATATGTTCCCAGTATCACCTAGAAAGAGTGAAAGAAATAAAGACAAGGTTATGAATGATGAAAGAGATAGAAGAAGAAATGCACAATGGCAAGGACAACAACAAAAAGCACAGGAGAATAATAAGAGAGGTTTTACAAAAGAACAATTACAGAAAGGATATGAAACTAGAAAGAATAATAATAGGTGTAGCAATTGTGGACAACAAGGACATTTTTCTAAAGAATGTACAAACGAGAAAGTGAAGCTAAATCAAAATATACCAAATGTTGGAGATTTCGATCCATTTGAACAATTTGTAAATTCAAGCGTACCAATTAATTGGGGACAAATGATGAATGAAAGACCAGAAGTAAGGAAGAAATTATTAAATGGTTTGAGATATTGACTACACTCGGGGGAATTAAAGAATATTAATCAGAAAGAAGAAAAATCACAAGCAACAAGATGTAATATAATAATTGA